TCTTTCATTATTAAATATAAAGTAAGAAACTGCTGTCATATTCTTTACCATTGTAATAATAGCAATTCTATTGTGCTTAAGCTGTAAAGATTTTATTCAGATCGCAAAATAGGTGAAATAAATTTGTAAGCGGGTATTAAAATGTAAGTACTATTATTATTAACTGATGTTAATTTATCAAAGGTAATGAACAAGCCTCTATTTTAGGTTTATTTTATGAGACTGTATTGTTATATTTTTACAATCAAATATTTGATTAGTGCCATTGATATTCATGATTTAAATAGTGAATAGTCATAAAAAAGAAACCAAAAAAGCTTTGCACCACAAAGTAAAAAAAACAGCCTATATATGTCATACTACTGGCCGAAGGTCTCTTCCATAAGGATGGTGATTACGTTTACCACGCGTTTTCACTGCGGATTAGAGGACTTCATTTTTATTATTTGTGTTATTTTTTTGATTATTGTTATTATAATTTGCAGGTTTCGTCACGTTATTTTCCTTCACCGCCGAGCACGTAAAAGGTCATCACAGAAAACTATCAATTTCAGTGGTGCCGGCACCGGGATTTGAATTCAGGTTGCTCGTGTATTTTGAATAAAAAGCGAGCGAGTCAGTGATAGCTCTGTGCCCCTTTTTTGCCCAACAATATAACTGTTATTCTAACTCATTAACCTGATTCGAGCTGGCCTAATTGAAAAACTTTTCCATCGATACCGTCACCAAACAGCCGAAAATTGCGCTCTTACTGACATTCAGTACGCTCACAGATTCATATCAGCTTTAATCCATCGGTTATTACTATTGGAACTTTTAATAATGAGTCCGACGTGAAGTTCGTATAATTGCGGTGCGTTCCCGTCGTAATAACACCGAACGGTAATTTGGAAACTTACAAAGTGATTACAATGTAATGTCCATTTTAACGTACATTTTGTTCTGACCTGTACCTGTTGGGTGGGGACTCCGTAGTGGGTGGTAGTCGCAATAAATTTCAAACGGATATGGTTACTTATTATACACGTATTAATGCAGATGTAGTAATAACGAAAAATGATCTATTATGCACTCGTGAATCGTGAAATCGGCAATTGGAGAAATAAAACAAAGAGCGCACCGGTTAACCCAACCACCGCACTCGAAAGCTCCGACAGGGTTTTAACTTTGCCTAAAGAGCAACACTTTCCCAGCCGTGTGTCGAGTGCCCTTCAAAACGCTACTTTCTGCGTTTAGACAAATGAACAGCGCTGCACCCTCGGCGGCACATGCCATGCGTCTTTGATCCAGAAACAAACTAAAAGTGAATTGTTGTAAGTAATGAAACTAATATACTTATCGCGTTTTATTTTTATTGTCTCGGAAAGTTCCCATGTTTTTATAACAGTTATTATAACAGATATAATAACACTATCCATAACAGCTATTTCTCGACAGTAAAATGTTTAAAATTGACTAATAAAAATATGAGAATAAAAAAAAAAAGAATTTATAATTTACAGATACAATTTTAATACATTTGCATACAAATTTGTTATTCGTATGTGGTAATATTGAACGTTGTTATTATTCGAGGTGTGTATATTGAATTTGTATAATAAATATAATATATCGCCAATGAACAAAAGGGAAGCGATGTTTTTCATATACAAGAAAGAAAAACAAGATTGGCTGATTCTTTCAGACTTTTTAAGATTGAATTGGTTATCGTTAAGATGGTTGTTCATTTAAAAGTAAATATAATTCACAAGGCTCATCTAGACGTAAACTGAGTTCGTGGTCCGGACAATAAAACTCCCGCGGCACAATGGCGGAACTCGTAGGACACAATAAATCAATTGGAGTGGGTGGTTGACTTTTCACTCAAATGTGTGGTTAATTGTAACCGAAAATGACTGTTGATCGCGCCACACTTAATTTGAGTGGTGCTTTGGCGTATTTGTAGGGGTTACATTTTGTAGCGACGGGGTGGAAAGTAAGTAATGGTTCTGTTAGTTTTGTGATTATTTTGTATTTATTTTTACTCTGTACTTTCAACGGTAATGTACTTTAATCGTTTTACCGTTTGTTGTTGTATCGGAGTTAGTAGTTCTGGAACTACATACTAAATATCGTTAAAGTAACTGGTAGTAAAAAGTTATATGAGTAACTAAAACTTGATTAAATAATTTTGTTAGTTGTGTACAGGCGATTCGGTAACCGAATTGCAACTCGCTGTTATCCGAAGTGATATTATGTTTTGATATAGGTTGTCTTACAAATATGAAATTCAAAGATTTAATAACATTCAGCCGTTCTAAATTCCTAAATTGATTAAATTGGCAAGATTTTTTAGATTGGCAAGATTGGCAAGACTTGCACAATAACTGAATTTTTAATTTGAACTTAAACACTTCCAAAGCTAAACCTTTTGTTTATATTTTCACCAGTTGGTCGCCCTTTTTATTAATTATTTTCATTAATTTTTGATAACCTATCTTCATTGGATTTTGCTATATTCGACTTATTAATTTTTGATGTACCGATATTTTTTAAATCAATTACGCAATTAAGGGTTATATTGATATAAAATAATGACATCCTCTCCTCATTCACTCTATGTCACTAAAATAACATCTTTTATTTTATTTATTTACTATGCACACCTATATTTGACTCCTAGAAATCTTGAAAATATTCTCCAAATTCAAATCTCAAGGTACCGACACTAGTAATCCTAGTTACTTTTTGTCTTTGATATTATTACTAATAATTTTTATTTAATTTGAGTTTTAAAGGAAAAAATAAATAATTGCTCATTATAGTCATGAAGTACCTACAAAGGTAACCAACATACAGCTTAGAAGATAAGTAAGCTGAAGTAGGTAGGGAAGAAACGTTCTTGAGTGGCAGCCTCGTTCTAGCCATCACAGTGTAGGACGATCCCGATCCCCCATTACATAGAGTGAACTGTGCGGCAAGTCGATAGATGTAGGTGGCTCAGGATCGTGCTTCGTGGCAGTCTATGGGGGAGGCCTATGTTCAGCAGTGGACTCAAAGAGGCTGAAATTATGAAAGTCATGGATGTCTTCTTTCTTGTTTCTTCTCCTGCCTTTGTCCCACACGGAGTGGGGTCAGAACAACACCTCTTCTACTTTCTCAAGCGGTAATAGTTCGGTCCCAATCCCATTTTCTTACCCAAATATTAACACTAGAGTTCCCATGGAGAGCATGACGCCATGAAGGTAGTCTTGGTCATAAAACTAACCAAATAATTGTATTCTTATATTTTTATATTTATAATTGTCACTATTAATTTGTACCAGTGGACTCCGAGTGGTTGAAATTCGACCATAATTAATTAAATTATAAGTTTGAACAATATTAATCTATGCTCAAATACAATTACACAATAAAAAAGAGTATGCGTGTGTGTAACGTTTTCAATATTGATTTAATGAATTTTTATGCATAATTAAATAAATATTATATATTAGCACTCCTCTATATAAACTATAATATAAGTGTGAGAAATTTCATACTCCTCCGCAATTTTATTAAAAACGGATACAAAGATTTATTTTATTATTTTTTCTTTAATTTTATACCAACTTTTTTAACTCTGCACCACCTGATAGGTTGACTGGTGGAGAATGCCTCAGCCATTATTGGATGGAATATACGCAAGATTTGTGTAAAAGTTAAATAAATAACTAAAACGACATATTTAATTACAATAAATGATGATAATAGGAATAATTATGAATACACTTTTTCGAGTGCCAAGAATCTCGGTCTAGCAATATGGTGCTGTGCCGGTGCAATTAGCAGAGGACCCCTCGCAGGCCCTGTATTAAGTCACTAGTGAGTGGCAGACATATCTGCTGATTGAGAAGCAGATATGCCTGCCTGTCACTAGTTGTCACTCACAGGGCTCTTGAGGAGTGTTCACTATCAGGGTAGAAGGTTGCGTGCGTAAGGTATCTGTGCCCTGGTCTCCTGTGGATATCCCGGGCGGCAGTTGTTTTCTTGAGTCTCTTCGCATCCTCGCAATCAACGCGAACAACGTCCTCCCAATATGCGAGGATAGCACGCTTCAACGTCGCTTCCTACCAGCAGCAGCAACCGAGCAACGACCGAGAATCATAGCATACTCAACAACGATATTCATTACGTCACCAATATTAACAACTAACACTGAAATGGGTGTATTGAGGATTTTTTAGAATATGTCATTCTAGACCTTCGAAGTATGGTGTTTTGTCCCTTCACATGGTTTATCTCGATCCTATCTAAAGCACAAATTCGGTCGCGTATAGTGTTGTTGTCATATTAGGTCAGACAGAACACGCGGAGAAACTCATTGGTGACTTTGATTTAGTTAGAATCACACAAAATAATCTCAGACACCGTCGCTGGGACTACTCAATAGTAATGAAGTAAAATGAGTACTCCCTCCCCATGCTATTATTGGACAACTAGAGGCTGACTCTATTCTTTGTTGTCGAGATTCAACTCCCTCGAACTAATTTTTAGAACCTTTGTTCGAATTTAATTTTTCGTAAAGCAAAAAAATGAACCATTTTACCAGCACCCGTTTTTCCATCGTTATATAACGTCAACGTCTTCATTTCGGGAGTAAAATCGCTTTAAGTTTTTTATCATTTATGATTGAACTCCACTTACCAGGTGGGATTGCGGTCTAGACTTGATCTGTGGGGCACACAAATACTTGTCCCCTGTGGGAATCGAACCCAAGACCCCGATGTCGAAGCCAATAACTTAGTAACTGCGCCACCGAATCAGTTTATAGGTTTTAATTATAATTTCTTTTTCTCTACCAATTTTTCTGCAATCCTCGTCATAAAAATGTTTAATATAGTAATGAACATGGATTTTAATTTTAAACAACTCTTATAACGGGGAATAAAACATAAAATAGAATGAGTTTAAATATATTTAAGAGATTTAGATAGAATGGCTATTCGATATTTATGATTTCAAAACATGATTAATGTTTAATTTAGTTCTTCTGGCCAGTAAGCATCTATCATCTTCTTGATACGTTCGTCAAGATCTGTTCCATTCGGAGGCTGCTTACCCAACAGGAAGACGAACTTTTCATGGCAATCCATCATTGCCAAGTATTGGCCTTCGACAAGTTTCAAGCGCATGGGGTAGCGATGGAATCCGGCTAAATCCAATTTCGCTAAAAATGTTGTATAAAAGTAATGATGAGATAAGATTACATTTTTTTATCCACATAGTTTTACATAGTATATTCAAATATTTTCAATAATTATCCAAAAATTATAGATTAAACAATAAAGTAAAAATAACACATAAAGATAAATGAATACATAAAAGATATCGTTTAACCTAAATAAAGGATCCAAAAAAGTTTTTTTTTAAAAGGTACGTTGACATACTACCAAGTATATCAACGTACCTAGGTGGTTAACGCTTCTTTAAGAAATTCTGCCGTTAACCCAACTTGAAACTTAATAAAAATGTCCCTCTAATGATACAATGACATTTATTCAATCGCTAGGCAAGAGCCCGTGACTTCTTAATGCTAAATAACAATTACACTTCATAAGTCAATGTCTGTACAAAAATAAAAACAGTTGAACAGATTATGTAAATTAAAGGTGAATGAAATACGTTTCTTGCAATGCATTTTAAAATAAAAAAGTAATAAAAAAGACAACGACTAATGGCCTCGTCTAACTCCACTTTTCATTAAGCTTATTGGACATTATAGGTGGTGACCAAGTGTCGGTCTAAGTGATTAAGTCAGAATTATATATTGAATATAAGTTTTCAAAAACGCTCATTGGCGGAGGCAGGAATTCCTCTGATTGAAACAACGGATAAAATTAATGGTTTGTTTTTAAAATTTTGCGAAATCAAATGGCTTAGAAAATTCGAAAATTTAAACAGTGGATATAAATTATATATGTATTATTTTTGCGAGTTTCATTAGGCGACTTTGAGTCCATTTTGCAGGCAATGATCAGATAATGGAGTGGATGGAATCGTGTTATTGGTTGATATAACAGTGGGAACAAATGAAAAGTTTCAAGTTTCAAAATGACCGTTTCACAATTTAATGGACCGATAGCGTACATGAGTTGGTGGTGAAATCAGGGCGCGGTATCTCATTGATTTATTCGGTGAATAATTTAAAAGTACATAATGTGGGTAAATTGGTATCGTGCTAAGTGCTGTCGTCTATCTCTAGAAGTAACGTTATGTGCATATGGTCAGGTATCAATCAATGATCACCGTTTTCTGAAGTAACCACTCGATGATCGCCCGCTTGTGGTTTTATAATACACATTTGCTTTATCTATCGTGCAGAATAATATGATACCTGATTAGTTCTGTTCAGCCAAAAGTCTGAAGTCAATTTAATGAATTTTCGATGAAAGTAGTGAGTACATTTACATAACTAGCATTTTATTTAATAAATATGAAGCTCGGTCGTGTAATAGAAAGTCGGTCTATTTTGAAATTGTTCTTTAGAAATCTCACTTGTTAGTGTTAACATATTACATTTACAAAATCAATTTGTATGCAAGAAACGACTTATACAAACCTGTGTTAAAACAATAGTCAATTAATTGGAAAAAGTAGCATAATCATTCTTAATGGACGATGGGAATAAAATGCATGATTTGAGTGGGCACAAGAGAAATATTACATCATCATAATTATTATATCATGGCTGTATGTCGTTGCTTTAGTATTCATTATCTATAATTATCTCAACACAAAGAGTGGTTATAGTGAGTTAGTTCTGGTGAGTTAGGTCTGATAAGCAAAATATTATTTGGGTCATTTAACTAGTTCATACTAACCAGTTTAAAAAAATACATACCTGTGGGGGCAGGCATCTGAAGGGTTCTGTAAGAACCGTCGACTTCCAGTTTTTCCAGATAGTAGTCTCGTGTTCTATTGGATTTCACGGTTGAACAAGGTACCTGCATTTTCAATTCGAGGTTCTCCCATTTCAGGTTCTCGATATACTTGCCAATACGCTCTTCTAAGTTTTTTCTCTCCTATTGGAACACGGAACCATATACACAATTGATCGATAAATTAGGATATCCAGTCGTTGCTGTTATGAGAAAAGTAAACTTTATATTTTACAAATTAAACAACGATTTAATATGTTCTTCAATACGAGTACCGTGCAGTTGAAGAAATACCTAATTTTATTTTATTATTTTTAAAGTTAAATAAGAAAACATGGTGGAGCCGCGTAACAGTCTTTGCTGATGCACGGATGGCCAGATCCATCCGGGTAAGTACCACGAGTCACAGAAGACCGGCGTGGAAATGGAAGAGTTTTCTTGTTCAGAGTATACTTTTGCGTTTCATCTGATGAGTGAGGTAGCCGGAACCCACTTTATGAAAAGATGGCATCGTACCTGCAACCCTATGGGTGTTGCAAATGACAATGGGTGGCGGTTATCACTTAACATCAGGTGAACCGCCAGCTCGTTAGCCACCTCAATGTAAAGAAATCGCTGTTTTAATAATAAGATTTAAAGCCATTTTTTATTCTTAAAAAGGGGCTTAAAAACGTTCCCTTTGTAAATATCCCATTAATATTAAAAACCTTTGCAGTAGGTTATGTGTAATAATCATTATAATCAGCATTAACATTATTTTATTTTGTATTCAATCAAGTGGATTTGAGGCAAGAGCAAGGTATGAAATACAAGTCCATTTTTAACCGACTTCATTAACGGAGTAGGTTCTCAATTCGACTTTATGTTTTTTTTTTAGAACTTTCAGACTGATTTTGATGATTCTTTTTTTATTTGAAAGCTGGTTTATATGTGGACCACATGGGAAGCACCGTGTAAATTTCATTGGTTTTGGATTTCGGGCTCCGGATATATATGCTTAGGGAACTTCTGAAAATCAATGATAAAATGAATACATAGCGAGATATTTGAAGTCGGTTTTGTTTTTCGTTAATAAAAAAAATACAGACGAATTGAGAACCTCCTCCTTATTGAAGACGCGTATAAAAGGACAAATAAACGCAGTTTTATCATCCATTCCATTATTAAAAATTGATTTAAAACAATTCAGAAGGATATAGGACTATCACAATTATAACATAATTACCTCTTCACCAACTTTTGTAAATTCGACACAATGGGACTCGCCTGAACCGTTAGACTTCTCAGTTTTGAAATGCAACAAATGCCAGATGCCGATAGCTTGGTCGTCTTTGAACGTGACGTTCTTAGAGAATTCTTGGCAGTTGGGTTGTTTGTCGTTAGATTTGGCCTTTCCTAACTGCAAGTAGGCGACAGCTAGAAAAAAAAATCCTTCATATATAATTTGAAACTCCTCGTACTACATCACATGCAGATGCATTGTAATGTAATACGAGGAGTTTCAAATTCAAAATATCTTTATTCAAATAGAAGCTTGCGTGTTCTTATGAAACGTAGAATTTTATATAAAAATTAATATATAAGTTCGTAAGGTACCACTGAAATTTTAATTGACCATTTTCCTGCTGCCGATAACTCTGTGCATACACTGAGCTTTATACAAAATGCGGCCGATTGATGAAATCGTTTAGTAACAAAATGAATCGACTGTTTGTAATTTGAGTTGGAAATGACAAAAACTATATTACCCAAAATGAACAGCCGTAGAATAGGAGTCATTTTGAAGTCACAGTCACGCTACGCGAACTGAATGGCTTGATTAGGTGTATCAAAAGGATAACAGCATTAACAGCTCAAATTGTGAGCACTTAACCCTTGGACACGGCAATTTTATTTAGAGAAACGTATATTTTTTATTACTACACCGATTTGTTGGAAGCGAGGTGTTCTGTTGGAGTCGAAAAACTCGATCCGCCATTAACGCGTCTAAAAGAAGCAAAAAGGATATTGAAAATTGAAGAGCTTTGAAGGTTGTTTGATGATTGCCGTGTTACCTAAATGGCGTATGGTCATTCGAGGTAATTTGAATATTGAAAGGGCAGGGCTTATGCCTTTAATCGGCTAGGAGAAGGGAAGGAGGCAGGGAAAAGATATCGAAAGGGTGGGGGGACGGTTGGATAATGTAGTATATTTTTACTTTGGGTATAGTAAAAGCCTCTACCAGATTAGTCTCGTAGTAACTCCTGCCTTACTTTTTTTGATTCAATGTAAAGCTTCGGACCAAATCCTAAACTTTTAGAACTCAATTTTCCTTTGAAAGTCTTAAATAAAACTATGAATATAAAACAACTAAGCGAATGATAAATAAAACTATTATTAAAAGGTTCGAAAATGTTGATTTGTTATTATAGTCAGCATGGATAGTTTGTACATAATACGTGACAAGTCATTTTCTCACATTATAACGTTTCAACAAGAATTTAGAAACGACATCAAACGACGTCAATTAATTTTGTCTTTTGAACAATAAGTGTTCGAAAAATGGTTTGTGTTAATCCGTAAATTGGTAATAAATTTCGTATTTTATGTCTTATAGAGAATGAATAAAAATTCGGGTCTCCATATTATTTTTGCGATCCTCGTGCTAAAATGTGTAGGAGGATGATTCCGTGTCGTAAACAGAATAAACTGTCGCATCCTGTCCAATGATCTACAGAGAATTGTTGCTGCCTTTGCTAATAACTAGTCAATGGCGTATACGTCATTAGACAGAAGATTTACGAATACTTGCGATTTACAGAAAGTAGTGCTGTATATAATTATAATAGTAATAGTATTAACAATAATTTTATAACACACAATGATATTTACCAAAACGATTGTGGGTTTTCAAATGAAGATCATGGAAGGAACTTTCAACAAGCACCTTGTTTGAACACAAGTTTGTTTTTTACACCTGCGATTCATAAGACATAAGTCTATATGATAAATACATTTTGATAAACTTTTGAATTTATGGTGATAAGGCTAGAAATCAGTTATAAAGTTAAACAACATATTTATCAGTGTTTGATGGCTCTACATTATAGTCGTAGGTACATAAGCGTTTCATTAAGAGTATAATCGTTATGACGACGTGTATATATATTATTGCGTAGGTATAAAATAATATTTAACCAATTTAAATAAATTTATTCCTTACGATTGGCCTTCGTTATTAGAAATGCTTCGATGCACACATGCCAATGGGGGATCTAAATGACGAACAAAATGACAACGTTCAGACCTTAAGACGCCTTGTAAGTATCATGTTACGGCTAACCACAGACGATTTTAGTGACGTCCTGTGCGGTTATTTAGTACTGGACGCGTGGCCTTTGTTCTTGAGTTGAGTTTGCAAATTGTCGTGTGGAATTGAAAGTCGCCTTTTCTGTGATTCGGATAAAGATGAGAATCGAGTAAAATCCGGTTGGCGTGGGGTTGTGGTTATGACTGCGCACGCGCTCCTTGTATTAACAGCCCGTGATAGCGATCCTTTGTTGTTGGTCACAACTTGGCGACACCTGTCGTTTGTTCAGTTTAAAACCATTATTTTCGCACAATGTCTTACGCCGCCGATATCGTGTTGCGAATGCGAGCAGGCTTCAACATCTAAGAATGAAATTGTATTTACATAGGCGAAGCGGTTTAATTTTTAGCCCATACTCGAAACATGGTTTTAAAATACAGCAAGCACGTTTCGGTTTCTTTGCTAAGGACTCGATATCGTGTGATAGTTGTTATAAACGTTTATTTTGTAGACGTTTAAGGGCTATAGGCTAATTTCCCGTGATAGGTAATTTGTAGTTTCCTCGATTTACGAAAAAATAGATAAAATTCAAGATAACATCACATACTTTTAGATAAAATTACATTTATCTAAGGGGTACTTCGGTCAGGGCCGGGGCGGCATCGGAGGCAGCTGAAGTAAGTAAATGGCGCAAATATGAGTCTTTATGTTTAGATTATGTATTAGTGCCATTTGCTGTTGAAACTTTAGGTCCGTGGGGTCCCCGCACATCAAAACTTTTTAAAGTTTATGTCCTAGGCTTAACGCCGCAGCTGGTGACAAGAGAGCTGGTTCTTTTCTCGCTCAAAGGTTAAGCATAACTATTCAGCGAGGAAATGCAGCTAGCGTTCTTGGCATCATGCCGCGTGGTTTAGGTTTATTAAATAATTTGTAATTTTAGATAGATTTAATATTGTAAATATTAGATCATTTAATTAAATATTATTTTCGTATATAAAGCTACATTTGGTCAGCGAAGGCACAATTCCAACCTGATTCAAAATTTTTTTGGTCAAACAGGCCTCTTGAGGCACGTGTCATTGAACATTCTTGTCATTGAATACCAAAGCATCTTTTCATTAAAGTAATTTTGCGCAGTCGATTCCCCAAATAGTTTGGTTTTTGTTTTTTACATTGTAAAACATTGATTTCTTAACCAGAAATTATTCTAATAAAAAACCGACATATTACTTTTCTACTAACGGAAAGGTAATCAAATACTTATAATTTCTTAATTGAACAAATTAAATTTCATCATTAATCAAGTCTTAAAGAGTTATTTAGGTATAGCAGTTTAAATGTTAGGCCATAAAGCTTTGTCAGTTACGAAATCTCGGGGTAATTGAATTGCGCGTCGTAGAAACGAAACTCGGCGATTCGTCTCCGGCGAAATTCCTTTGCATTAGTGTCACCGGCGGCCAATTTATTTATAGTACACGTAACGGACATTCATCAGGCATTTACGTAGGTATTACTTGTGTTTTATGCGGCGCTGCTATCGGTGGGAGATTAGAGCCGGCTATATCTCAGCACGATGCACGCCCACCGTCGGTGGCCCTACACGGGCTGCTATTCTCGAAGCCGGCTCCGGCTTATTACGGCCGGGCTTGCAGCTCTCATGTATCTCGTATCGGTCGTATGTAATTTTATTACGCGTCCCGTTTCCGCGATAACGATGCTCAAGTTAGAGGCTAGATCCAAGTTGCGTTCGCAACGTGAAATCTCACCGCAAATATTATATGAATGTTTACGTGAATTTATATTGATTTGTTTTCGCCCATCGCTCCGTTCGGTTCCTTCCGTCACGACTAAATTAATGCGAAGGAAGAATAAATGGTAATCGCATCACAAAATTCCATAAGAGATTATCTTTTTATTTTTCTTATAAATAAATGTTTGTATGTTTGTCTTTTCAAACTTTTTCTTTACGTGCAATACAACGTAGCATAATACTAGTATGAATAATAATTATGTTTGTGCATTTTTTGAAACTGATTGCGATGAAACTTTTGTGAGTTTTTCTGGGTGGCGTACCTCTATGACCTTTTCTCAATTAATATTTCATTTGAATTAAAATATATTGGTTTTGGCTAAATACCCCTTTATTTTCACGACTAAATTAGTGCGAATGTGATCGAATCACAACAGCATTTATGAGTGTAATACTATAAAATATATAGTAATGTTGATATGTAGCGTGTACGATATGAGTTATGAGGTTTTATATGCTTGTTTTGTCTTCAGCTGTGTGTACCACTGAAAGTGTACGTTTATGATTGAAGGGAAATAGTGAAATAATAAAAATGCACTTCAACTGTCTCTACATTAAAAAAAGAAATTAACTTGATTGTTAAAGTGTTCCCTTGAGTGTTAATTGCGCGAATTGTGTTTTCGAATCGAGTGTGCAGGTGCATTAAGCTTTTTGTGAGTGCGCGATGATGAAAAATAAAAAAAAAATGAACGAAGACGAACGATTTCACTCGTAATTTCCATTGTTGTTGATTGTCTATCGCCACCTGCTGGATTAGCGAAACCATATTTTATGGGCTGTCATTAGCGGAGTCCTCGGGGTTCAGTGTTGCTAGCGCGATCGTCTTTTGTTGCGGACGTCCCGGCGCGGTTTTAATTACCGAAGCCGAGATACATTAACGTAATCAAAGCTCGATACATCATACTCGCGCTATCGCCCCGCCTCGGCTTGATTAATAATTCTAATGAGCGGCGGTGCCAAACGAGTTAATTAAGCTCTTTTTTCCACCGGTCCGTGCCACTGCGACCGGTAAACGGGTGCATCAATCACCGCTTTGTGCCCGCCGCCGGATTTCTTAATGATCGAAACGGGCGCGTCTGACTGTTGTCCGAGCCTGCTGACTCCGTCTACCCTGTGCCTGTTCCTTTATAGCTGCTGGGATGTAAGCCGTGGTTAAGTTTTAAAGACAGTATGTGCCAAATGAGACGCCGTTGCCAACATTAAAGAAGTAGCCCGTTTATCTCACTCAACGGAGGAAATTAAAAAGTATGAACGCTTCTTTTCTGTGGGTTCTTGGTACTTCCGCGAATAGGCCAGCCCATTCATGAATCGTTAAAAGCTGCTGGGCGGCTGCGAGTGCGAAAATCATTGTCTGTTACTGTTTTCAGCTCAGCGACAAGTCACCGTACCGCCTTTCCTAATACATATAATATAGACTAAACAGTTTTTCTGTGTGGAATCGAGAACTCTGATGATGATGTTTGCAGGTCGAGACCATTCTACAGGTACCAACAATTCACGACTTATTAAGTTAAGTGAACCCAGCCTTTTGTTTTCCGCGCGGATATAAATAAAATATATCTTTCAAGAAATTTTTTGTTGTCTTTGTGCGACATAACTTTGGTTATAAGAACGGCAACGGGCGGTTTAAATTTTTTTTAACATTTTAACCGTAATTTTTTTACCAGTAGTAAATCAAAA